TCAGTGGAACTAGGATTTAAGTCTGTTTAGCAAGTTTTTAAAATGTCTAAAATTTCCAACAGACAAATTGAGAATGATATATCAATGTTTTAAAGAAATGTTGATTTTAGTGGAAACGTAGCAATGTAGGTTGCTATAAGGCAATTAAACATTTCGTGCAATGAAAATGTTATTATAATACTAGTAATTTTTTAAAAAGAAAAGTGATTAGTTTTATTATTTGATTTAAAACTTTAATATTGTTTACAGGCGGAGAAAATTGATATTTTTTTCTCGTCTTATAAAAGTGCTTACGGTATATGCCTAGTCAGTCTTTTTGTGCCCTAGCATGTACTTTCATAATATATTTTAAATTATTTTTTTTATTCAAATCTGATTGACGAATCTAGATTTACTTTTTTTCATAAGATTTAGGGTTTCTAAATAAGATTTAGGATTAAACCAATAGTACATTATAAACTTTATGGCTTATCATATTATAACCTTTTTGATAAGAATGATGTTTATCATGAATATCAACATAAAATCCATAGTACAGTTAATACCATGTTTCCTGCACGTGCACTATAGTTAATACGGTTAATCTGATAATCAAGAAATCTTGTATCAAAAGATTTTATAGGTTGTGTACACAAAATTTCATCGGAAAAATTGTCATTTTTAGATTTACACAGAAAGTGTAATAGTCGTATGTGTTTTCTGTTTTCTATTTGAAAGGCTCTCTATGCTTGACTGTCGTCTTACAATGTAACAACCTTTGCTAAAATTTTAAATGCTCTTTTACTACCGTCATTTAATAATTCCCAATTCTAAGAAATATTAGATTCTTTGTTAAATTCTGATGATTTATTTTCAATTGCGCTCCGTAATTAACTGACCTATTTTTGTATTCATATGATGCAGAATTTGTGCAAACTCGTAGGTGTGAAAAGAAGAAAACACTTGCTGTGGCCTTCAACTCGACATTTAGATATATCGATGACGTATTATCAATTAACAATGGTAATTTCCATTCCTTCGTCGATACGATATACCTGGTGAGCTTGAAATAAAAGATACCACAGAGTCTGACACATATGTTTCGAACTTGGATACAGTATTTTACTTGAAAAAGACGTTAATTTAATCTAGCAACCAAACTGTATGATAAACGTGATGACTTTAAATTTTCCATCGTCAACCTCCCTTACTTATGCAGCAATATACTTTCGTCACAGGATACGGAGTGTATACCGGTATATCTTACTTAACTCGATACGCAAGCATACTCTAACTTTAGACAGTTTCAAAAACGAGGTAAATTATTGACAAGCTAGTTTATGAAACAAGAATATCAGCAATCTTGTTTAAAGTCAACATTTCGTGAGTTCTTTAGTCGATACAATGACCGTGTCAGCAAATACTAATTACCATTGAGTCACATGCTGTCTGATATGTTTCAACTTATTGTTAGTCCATTATTTCAACACTGAAATGACGACGGATTTTCTCGTTATTTCCCGATCATTAAGAGGAGCACACGACAGGTGTGGCCGGTCAGCAGGGGATGCTCACTCTTCCTTTACACCTGATTCCACCTCTGATGTTTCGGGTGTCCGTGTTTGCTCTGCTCGTATTTTGTATTGTTTTAAGGTTTTTTGTTTTGATATTGAATACTGTTCGTTATCTCCTTATCTTTCTTCTACAAAAAATGGAACATCTTATCAATTAAAAATAATTTTTGTTGTTACTGTTCATTTTAATTTTAGACATCACTTAGTGGTGTTTTTTTCACAAAATTCTCCATGCATTTGATTGGAAATCAGCAAATCAATTCATATTTTCTTTTCTTTGTGGGATATTCTAGATTGTAAAAAGCCTTTAGGTTGACCAGATGTCAACTGATTAATCTTTGTTTTCTAATCGAAAAGGAAAATATTTTAGAATCTAGTATATGATGGTCATACTATTCTTTTGTTTCAAATTCCGAGATGTGTCTATTGTTTACATACATTAAATTGACAACGGATATTTCCGTTTTTTCCCGATCTTAACAAGAAGCACACGGCGGGTACCGGTTTGACCGGTCAGCAGGGGATGCTCACTCCTCCATGGCACCCGATCCCAGTCTGATGTTTCGGAGGTTCTTTTTCTGTTCCTATTTTTTTTTGTATTGTTTTATGGACTTTGAGATTGAATATTGTTCGTTATCTCCATATCCTTTTTAGATAAATATAAACAGAAATGTTCTAATGAGTAAATATATGCAGAAAAGAATAACGTACTATTTTCGTTATTGTTCTCAATCACCAAAACCAAAGTTAAAATAAATAAATAATAAGAAATGTCACGTTAATCCTTGTTTTCGCGTCCCGGATACACTTTTATTGATATTTTATCACTTGAAGTTGTATGATATTTTTAATGTTCACTGATAAATATATTCAATTTAATAAGAAACCCTAATCTCAGTTTATCTGTTTTCCCGACTAGTTGTTAAATTAAATGAGTCTCACATCTGTTTTATTATATTTATCTTAAGAAGTATAATACACTTGAACTATTTTTAATGTTATTCAGACATCTTCATCCACAATCATTAAGTCTGTACTTTTCCGTGTCAAAAGTCATTTATTTATTTATCTGATTAGAGAGAAGATGAAAAACAACTTTGATTTGCCTTTTACATTTTTTTTACATTTATTTCTAACTTTACTTTACAACTCTTTGTTTACCACTTTTTGTGTTTCGTTCTAATTCTCTTTTTCTCCTTTTATATTTATTAATCAGTTGATTTTTGAAATGCAGATATATATATATATTGTTGCACAATTAATATCCCTCGTGCTCAATAACTCAGAATAACAATTAAACTAAAGGTTTAAATAGATTGATTGAATGTATAGTGTTTAACGTTCCTTTCGAGAATTTGTAACTTAAATGGTGCCACCACCACTTGCAGGTGGAGAGCTGCAAATTTTGTCCTATACTCGGCACTGAGGGCCATTGAACAAGGAGGAATCTTTTTCGTGCCAGCACCTACTGCGACACGGGGCCTCGGTTTATATTGTCTCATCCGAAGGACCGGTCTCCACGTCCCACAGTGGGATTCGAACCCGCGACGTAAGGATTGACTCCTTACTTCGCGACTCTAGAGCAGGCGCTCTAACCATTGCGGTACGCGGGCGACTAGGTTTAAATAGAAATTTCTTCATTGGTATAAGATGACGTCTCTTTAAGATTTTTTTCAAAGGAATAAATCTCAATTGGATATAAACTATATACAATCAATCAGTAATCATTTTAACTGCTGTGTAACTTTTTCCTTCATATTCAATCCAAAGTACAAATATGATGAATCTAGTGTAATTAAAAGGATGCCATCAATTTCAACCTAGCATGTATTGAATGCTGTTTTCAAATTATCCGCTTTAAGAACCCTATATACACTGACGAAAAATATTTTTTGGACTTTGAGAAAATTATATAGTGTAAAGAAGGCTATTTTGAAATAAACTTATCCATTTCTAATATAGGGAGCGTGCCTTCTTTATCCAGGAAAAATCTTTGAAGACAGTAAAGTAATGACAAAGAAAAATTGCTTTTGATTATTCAAATGGAGAAAATACATGCAAATAAAGTTTTCAATTACTCTATCTTGGTCTGACAAAATGTTTAGAATACATGGATTTATGTAAAATTTTGTCATACAGCGCAAATTACAATTTATTCTTTTTTATGTCAAATGGTGGGTCAGTCTAACTACACGCAAGTACCCTGAAATTAGGGTGCAGTGTAGAGAGGGTCCTTAACTTTGTTTCACGTATTTTTTTACGTAGATGTAGAAGAGTAATTAATTTTCCTTCTTATCATCTTATTGAAAGCGGGTATCAAGACTTAGTGTTTAAAGAGATTTTAGTCTTTCAAATATAGGCCTTTTCTCAATTGATATACCTGTGAAATCTTCAAGCTCAAGCAAAGCACAAACCATTGAAAAGTTATAGTACCAAGGTTAAAAATATTTATATATGAGTCAAACACAATATATACAATGTCAAACAGCAAAAATAAAGATTCCAAGGAAAAGTACTAGTACACATGAAAAGAACTAGTATTTTTAAAGTTATGTCCAAGGTTAAAGTTTTTCAAAAGTTAGTTAAACTTCTTGTTCAAGGTCAAAATTGTTTTCATACAACGGAAAGCCCTATCCCAAGGCATACATCTTTGAAATACTAATATTAATGCCATGATATTCACTGTTCAAAATTATGTTTAATAATTTTTAAGCTATACTAGGCGTATCTGAGCTAAGAAATAAAAATACTAGTACGAGAATACGTGTAGATTTACTTGACATTTGCTATCTTTGTTCAAATTGGTTTTTTTTCACCGATTTGGAATTTAAATATCCCTACTTTCTATCGTTAAAGGGTCTGATATGTATTGCAGATTCTGAAAAAAATCAATTATATCGATTAAAATGTCGGATATCTATGAAATACAATTGATTTAAATTGTGTAATTTACAGAATGCTACCAAAGTTCTATTTTTCATTAATATTTTGCGCAAACTTTCCAGTATCAATATGACTTACAGATTTAAAGTAACAAAAAGGTCATCTTTATTGTGGTATAACACAAATTTACAATAGATAAATTGATAATTCTAAAATAAAGCTCATTTTAAAGTCGAATGTCTGATTTCACAATCTTCTTACAGGGGTCTGATTTGCCATATTTCAGACTATGTGGGCAAAATGTGTGTTTGAATTTCTTTTATGTCATATAAAAAGAGAGATTTTTATTCCTGGAACGAAACATTTAAGTTTCAGGAAAAATTTAATTTGACGGAAGATTTGAACACAGATTCTCAAACTACATTGTAAGCTTGTTTCAAGTTAATCAGAATGAAGTCTCATAATCTCCTTTGAGCTCTTTTAACATGTTTAATTCAATTTATCCATAGAGTTGTTACTTTTTTAAAAAACCGTGTAGTTAAATGTCCTTTCCAAAAAATAGAAATGGAAGAGCTTTTCTGTCAAAATGGGTAAAACATTGATTAAGTCAACTCAATACAACAAGAGATATGATTGATCAGTTAGTGTCACGTGGTTAATCTGCTTATTATATATAAAGGTGTCAAGAAAAGTTTTAACTTATTCTGAACATTGGTCATCATGTTAAATATACCCATTGTGTTCAGTCTGAAGTTCTTTTCGATGTTTCATAATTCTGGGCTCTTTAACTTGGTATGTTATTTCTATAAGCAATCAACAATAGACTTCGTATGATTATTTGTTTTTATATAAAGTTTTATTGTATTGTTTGAAATGAGAATTTATACTGCATTAATTTAATATAATTTATGTTTTAATGTCATGTTTGTGTTTTTGGTTTATGTATAAATGTATTTTTTTTTATCTGTCATGTTGTTTTAGGATTAATATATTTTTTATAATTATGATACAATGAATTTAAATTACAATACAATAATACTGGTAATACCGTATTATCTTTAAATAGTATTGGTTCAATAAAGTATCCTCTCATTCCATGTTAACAAATTATTTACTTTCATTCAATTTATGCAAGCGTTCTCGCAATTAATATACTATCTTTGAGACTTTGCAACTTTAAGCATTAAAATAAGCTGTATTACTGTTTAATATACAGCCACGTACATTGTCATACAGAAATATATCTGTATAATATTATTTCATTTTTGACATAGACAGGAATGGGAACATGCAATATATACATTTTTATGCCCCCGTGCGAATAATCCTGTGGGCAAATTGTTTTTGTCCTGTATGTCTGTCTGTCTGATGTAAACTTAAAATTAGCCTTGCCCGTAACTCTTGCGCTGTCAAGGGTAATTACTTATGTAACTTAAAGGAGTTAATAGTTGACATGAGTATTCATTATAACAGAATCTTTCCATTGCATGGTACAGAAATTTTTATCATTTGACCTCAACTGTGACCTCTGACCTACATTTGGAAAAAAAATCCAGAATTGTGTTACCATAGGGGGCATCACTCACTTAAATTGTCTCACAAACACACCTTGTTTTATCTTGTAGACGAACTATTTAACACCACCGCATTGCTATTTCACAGCTTCTAACGATTATCGTAAGTTCTTTCATTAATTCCAATTTAAAAAGAAACTAATCTTTTAAAAATAAACTTTTAAAATAAACAAACAATACAAAAACAACAATAATAATCAAAAACAACAATTCATGAAAACAATACTAAAAGACTTAGTTATTTATTTCTAAAGCCATGTATTTTTTTTGTAGGTGTTCCTCTTCTTGAATTAGTCAACAAACAAGACAAATGTGTCCTCAAATGTCCGAAGTATCGAAATATAACTGTTGGCTACAAAATACGGCCCCGTAGCCAAACTTCGACCGGTGATATCAATTATAACGTAACTTGTCCTGGATGTAACGGAGAGAGCCCGGACTTCACTGGCATTAGGGATTACATTCAATATAGACGCGTCCTCTGTGAAGGAAACATTGCAGACACGGGGATCTACGAAGTGGAAGTCGCAACAGAGTATGGAAAAGCCTACTCGTCTGTATATATAGAAGTGGAGTGTAAGATCTTCCTTGTATATCGTACTTAATGATATTATATTGTGGCGATTACTTCGTATTATTTAATAAAATGTTTATTTTTCAGTGAATGAGGGATTCACGGGTAGGGTCAAGCAACCCTCTGGACCAGGCCAGATATTGTTTGACAACATCGAAATGAACAGGGGATACTCCTATGATAGCAACACGGGGATTTTCAAAGCCAAAAGGACTGGTTACTACTCCTTCTACATGACGGCAAGAACCGAGTCCGATCGCTATGTCATGATGGAACTTCGGAAGAATGGCGTCAGGATGGGTTCCATAACTAACGATGTTTTGCCTGCCCACAGCTGGAATGTTGAATATGGGGCGAATGCTTTAGTGCTGGCCTTGAACAAGGGAGATGAAATGACAGTCCACGCCAACGGCACGCTGCAGAGTGGCTCTACTTTAACCTTGTTTTCATTGCGAAGTATGTTTACAGACACTTTGTAGGGTTATGGGATAGTAATTGCATGTAACATTAGGGACATATATGTAAATCTCACTGTAAGCTTTGCAGCTACATGTACCATCTATGATTTTTTCAAACTGCCTCAGTCATTCTGGGTTATGGGGAAAGACTTATGCTAAGATTGAAATAACTCTATAATTAGCCTTTACTTTCTCTTCAGCTCTGATGGAATCTCCTCAAGAAGCCTTATATGCCAGCATCCCAGACGGCACTGTGGTTCAAGGAGGTCCGTGGCAACCTCTCGCTTATGATGACGTACACATCAACACTGCCCAAACTTTCACAGCGAACACCAATTATACCGTGTCTAGCTCCGGATATTACGTCATCAGCATGACCACCTGTCTCCTGGACTCGGCCATTCACGCCTCTTACCTCGATGCCCGTTTTAAGATGACTCATTACTCAACCCTATCTGCTTCCTCTCGAACCTCAAATTCATACACATTTATGGCCAGATATAATCAGGGTGACGTCATACAGAACAAGTTCTATACTTTTAACACGACACGGGTATCAAATGAAACTTCTATTGCAGTGTTCAAGTATTTTGATTTGAATGGTAAGGCATAGTTGTTTGTTTTCTTTTAAGCCTGAGCTAAGACAGAAGATACATGTAGCAATTCAGTATTTTTAGCTCATCTGAGCCGAAGGCTCAAGTGAAATTTTCTGATCACATTTTGTCCGGCGTCCGTCTGTCTGTCTGTCCGTCTGTCCGTCTGTCTGTCTGTCTGTCTGTATGTAAACTTTTCACATTTTCGACTTCTTCTCAAGAACCCTTGGGCCAATTTCAACCAAACTTGCAACAAAGCATCCTTGGGTGAAGGGGATTCAAGTTTGTTCAAATGAAGGGCCACGCCCTCATTCAAGGGGAGATAATTGGGAATTAATGAAAGTTTGGTGGTATGCTTTAAAAATCTTCTTCTCAAGAACCACTGTGCCAGGAAAGATGAAATTTATAGGGAAACATCCTCAGGTAGTGTAGATTCAAATTTGTTCAAATCATGACCCCCGGGGGTAGGGCGGGGCCAAAATGGCCGACCAAAGTTTTACATAGAAATATTTAGGAAAATCTTTAAAAATCTTCTTCTCAAGAATGACAGAGCCATAATTGATCATATTTATATGGAAGCATCCTCAGGTAGTGTAGATTCAAGTTTGTTCAAATCATGACCCCCGGGGGTAGGGCGGGGCCAAAATGGCCGACCAAAGTTTTACATAGAAATATATAGGTAAATTCTTTAAAAATCTTCTTCTCAAGAATGTCAAAGCCATAATTCATCATATTTATATGGAAGCATCCTCAGGTAGTGTAGATTCAAGTTTGTTCAAATCATGACCCCCGGGGGTAGGGCGGGGCCACAATGGCCGACCAAATTTTTACATAGAAATATATAGGAAAATTCTTTAAAAATCTTCTTCTCAAGAATGTCAAAGCCATACTTCATCATATTTATATGGAAGCATCCTCAGGTAGTGTAGATTCAAGTTTGTTCAAATCATGACCCCCGGGGGTAGGGCGGGGCCACAATGGCAGACCATAGAAATATAGAAATATAGAAATATAGAAATATATTGGAAAATTCTTTAAAAATCTTCTTCTCATGAACAGCCAAGCTATGATTGATCATATTTATATGGAAGCACCCTCAGGTATTGTAGATTAAAGTTTGTTCAAATCATGACCCCCGGGGGTAGGACGTGGCTTCAATGGCCGACCAAAGTCTTACATAGAAATATATAGGAAAATTCTTTAAAAATCTTCTTCTCAAGAATAACCAAGCCATAATTGATCATATTTATGTGGAAGCATCTTCGGGTAGTGTAGATTCAAGTTTGTTCAAATCATGACCCCAAGGGGTAGGGCGGGGCCACAATGGCCGACCAAAGGTGCTCAGGTGAGCGATGTGGCCCATGGGCCTCTTGTTGATAACTTTCTATGTTTTGTATTTGCAGAAACCAATGTGGTTGTAGTGACAGCTACTCAAAAGGAATACTATTTGTCCTGTGAGCAAGAATTTTGTAATCCGTTTGCCAACGGAGCTGTACGTGAAAACTTGGGTTCAGCCTTAGATCCCGTTTCTGGGGTTTTCACCTCGCCCCGTTCTGATATGTACCTCATTTCCGTCAATTTGTTTGCAACCCAGGTGGACACCATTTTTCAGATACTTGTTGACGGTGAAGTTACAGATACCTTTCAAAGCGATGGACCTGCAAATGATAACTTCACTAATGACAGCAAGCTGGTTTTGATTAAGAGTCTGGAAAACGGTCAGACATTAGAGGTGAAAATGAAAGGCCGAACGGTCTTCTATACCATGCTCTCCATTTGGACTCTGACTTCCTGATTTTAAAACGAGGCCTCAATTCGCAAAGAGCTTCGTGCATTGTCATGTTTTTCGCTTTATCTATTGATGCGACTATTTTTCCTTTCAAAATACTGTGGATGTAGGAGTATGGCCAAATTTTAATCTAACATAATTTGAACAAAATTGACAAAGTTTTTTGGAAAACAATAAAGTAAATTTGCGTATGTTTATATCATACGACTTTAAATATTCATTTTTAATTCTATAAATATTTTGAAAAAATAAAAAGCTTAATTATGTGGATTTGTTGTTGATCGAGAAATATACACACATATAAGTCTGTAAAAATCTTCTTAAGTTTAAGCCACAAAAGGGAATCAAAGTTCTTCATAGAAATATATAGGAAAAATCTTTAAAAAAATCTTCTTCCAAAGACCCACTGGGCCAGAAAAGCTGAAAATTATGTTGAAACGTCCTAGAGTAATGCAGATTTTTAATTGTCAAAATTATTATCCCTGGGGATACGGCGTGACCACAATAGGAATTCGAAACCAAGTTTTACATTGAAATATATGGTTATGGGAAAAAATCATGCACCGCATGGGAAATAAAAGCTAAAACTAACGAGAAAGTCTGCAATTTCAAGGTATAATAGCTTCCTAATTGAGGAAAGTTTCAGGAAGATTGTCCGAGCCATCTCTGAGTAACAGCCCGTAGAGCAAAAAATGATTACAATCGCATTATGTCGCCCCCGTCTTCTTAGAAGAATCCTTGGGTAGTGCAGACGAATTTTTAATTGTAAAATCATGACATCCGGGGGTAGGGCGAGGCAAAATAGAGAATTCAAGTTTAACATTGAAATATAAAGGGAAAATCTTTAAAAGCCTTCTTCTCAAGAGCCATTGGGCCAAAATGGCTGAAATTAATGTGAAAGCATCCTGTGGTAGTGAATATTTTATGTTCTCGAAATTATTACCTATGGTGAAAGTTAAATTAGGGTCACAAGAGGTATAAGAAAATGGGAATCTTGTAAAGAATACCATGGCCAAAGTTACTCAGATGAGCGTGTGGCCCATGAGCCTGTTTTTTTTTTTTTTTTTTTTTTTTTTTGGAAAGACTGATTTTTTAATTTTGATAAATATTATTCTATATATAAGGACTTATGATGTACGCCCTGCAGAGGAACAAAAGGGTTGTTAAACCTTCACGATGTATTTCTTCTCTAAGTGTGGGGCGGAAGCACGGTGAACAAAAACACGCCGACACCGTATTTTATAAATCGAAAATGAAATACACACACACACACACACACACACAGAGAGAGAGAGAGAGAGAGAGAGAGAGAGAGAGAGAGAGAGAGAGAGAGAGAGAGAGAGGTTATAAAAAAAATAAAAAACAAAACACAAATAAAACTATTCATATTGTAACATTTTAACAAAAAAAAAGTAATTTGTTATAACAGACTACTAATTTTTATAACAAATTACTAATTTGATATAACAGATTATTAATTTGATATAACAGATTATTAATTTGATAAAACAGATTAATAATTTGTTATAACAAATTAGTAATTTGTTATAACAGATTAATAATTTGTTATAACAAATTAATAATTTCTTAAAACAAATTAGTATTTGATAAAAGAAATTACTATTTTTGACAAAATTTGAAATGTATACAGATCTATGAAAACCAGATCAAATCAAAAATCTTAGTATATGTCGGATTTTGAAAATAATTTGTAATTGTTAAAGTTTTTGGCCAATTATTAGACTTAAGTGGGACTTTTGAGAACATTTCCACCAGGCTCTGTTTTAATTAAAAGAAATTTCACGCATACGAAAGAATTAAATTAATAATTTAATACATTATTAAATTTTACCAGTCGCTACCCACTTATGAATACACTGAACCAAACTTCTAAGTGTTCACCTAACATTTTTTAAGTTTTAAAGAACAAATGCAAAAAATTGATACTTTCGTCAATTCATGCTTAATGATGCTTATTTCAGTTCGATGTTGCGTAAATATCATGTAAGTATCTCGTCAGAATTTTTAGCAAAGTGTCAGGGATATGATGTACCCTCAAAATGAAAACTCACACAAAGATATTTCTTTTGATTAAGACCACCATTCGCTCTATAACTGCAAGACATACTTTACTGTTGGATACAATGTACCCCTAAATATGAGATTTACCCATCTGCTACCACACCTATTGCCTAGATTTTTCCAAACCGTTGAAATGAAGTAGAAAGGGGGGCATAAAATTTCTTATAAAAGTAAAAAATATATTCAATGGGATTCAGATCTGGAGATCTGAAGATGCATCATCACACAGAGGTCTTTTGGTCAATATCCTTGGACGTTTATCACGTAAGGACACCGCTTTAAGGATGATTCAGACTACATGAGCTGATATTAGACTGTCACAAGCACCGATTTCTTTTTCATACGATATCATTTTCATACGATTGAATTCTTTTGTTTTCATGTTTCTACGATTGTTTCAGGACAATTTAAGTGTCTTTAAATCTGGTGTGACTCAAAATTTTGGCCTCAGACGAAGAACAAAGCCACTTCCGGTTTGGTTAAATTTTGTCAAAAACTTTCAAATTGTGATAAATTGGCGATGAAAAAGACCCACAAGCCTATCAAAAAATGTGTTTAAATGTGTTTTGATACGGGTTGCTAAATTTTAAAAGTAATATCTAGGACAATTAAAAAACTGAAATAAAAGTTAGTAAAACGTGATGCAAAGATGGTCAAGATATCAACATTCTAACGGCTCTCCCTTCTTTCTCAATGGTCATTTTGCCAATGTTTTGTGTTTCTCAGTCTATTTCAAACATGTAATCCTTGTGAGAGACCCTTTATTGGATACCAAGAAGTTAGACCCTTTGACCTACCTTTGAGTTTGACCTACTTTTAAAAAGCAAACATTGACCATAACTTTTAAAGGGTAAGGGCTAGTGCTTTCATACTTTACATATTTAATTTTTGTGACTAGACTTTCATTTGATAACAAGAACATTGACCTTGGCCTTGAAGTTTGACCTACTTTTGAAAAATTGTAACCTTGGCCATAACTTCTGAACGGTTAGGGCTAGGGCTTCCATCCTACTTTCGAATTTCACGATTGTTTTTCAGTGAGAATACCCTACATTTGGTACCAATTAATTAAATTTGCATTTAAGAAAAGTTTAATCTTTGCTATGTTGCCATACGGTGGAATCAGTGTTTCACAAACACATCTTGTTATAACTGTTGAAATATGATTAAAAATTTTTGTTATATCACACAGAAAATTATGAGTATTTTTAATTGTTAGAGACAAGAACTAATGCGTCAAAAATGTTGTTTAATACCTGGTCATTTAATAAAACAGTTATTGAATTTCAAATTTGGTCTACTTATACGCACCTGGTCAGTTAACGGTAACAGTCGACCATTACCTGTCGAGGTTTGCATAGTCATACATGTAAGTAGACCTCCCCAAAGTCAAGACATGTATTAAAGGTCATTGAACTTATATTGGTGAATATCTGTACGAGTTGGCTGCACAAATGCAAACCTGGTGACTTTAAGTATTTTTTTTTATAAAAGACTATAAAACATAATATAAGAGAGCATATAAGAACCATAACTATAGGACTCACTTTCTTTTTAACATTATTATTACCAGGGTACATATCTTTTCAGTTGACCCGAGCGTATGGGAGAACGTGGAACTCCTGTCCAGGACTGTTGAACGTATGGATTCGCCCAGGACTGTTGAAGATATGGACCACTGAAATCATCTGGTTGGCGGTTTTACTAATATATATGTTAATACAGCTACAAAAATCATGTATTTACACCCACTTTTGAACTCAGTCAATAGATTCCTCAGTGATATTTCATGACATACCCTGTAAGTCTTCATTTTATTTTAAGCAACATATATATATATATATATAACTTTTTAAAACCTTGATTAATATCATTAGTAAATTGGCTAATTGTTATGTCAGGAGTGGTAAAAAATAAATTACGGGTGGTAGCGAGGGATTTCACTTTATATGAAGAAGATAATTAAACAGCCAAATTGCGAGCTATGGTTACCATATCTTAAAGAACGTGCAAGCATTGAATAAATTACTCCCTACAGTTATTATACATATTTTGCTAAAAGAAAGAAACAGTAATGTCGGATTTCCTTCTAATTGAATATACAATTATAGCCTTTTTGATGAGGTCAATACATGTTTTTATGGACCTGATGAGAGTATATCGACCGAGGACGAAGTCCGAGGTCGATATACTCTCATAGGTGCCATAAAAACATGTATTGACCGATATCAAAAGGCTATAATTGTTTTATTATAATTGACTGAACATTTAAACAGTACAAGTATACAACAGGAAACAACATTTATTTATTTGATCAACAATATGTAAGTTGTAACATCTGTAACATCAAGAAAATGACAAAATTACTTTAAGCTAAAGGCTTATTCACTGTTTAGGTAGAATGTTGTAATTGATGGAAATGTTCGAACAGTTATACATTAAAGGGATTGGAAATTGGTTCCAAGCTTTCACATTGTTTTCTACTTTAAGCTGAGAATTTCTGAACAACGTTAACCTGAGGCATTTCAACGTTTTTCAAAAATTAGTCGAAGCCATCATCAGTGCTCAACAGATCGGTTAATACGGCATTTTCTTGCGAATCAGTTAAAGGCAAGATGTCAAAGTTAGGGGTTGCAACATCTTGTACATTTGTAGAATCATCTTTTTTCAAACATTTTTCCAATCTTTTTGGAGATTTTCTCTGACATCACTTGTTTTGTGTTTTCATCTGTTATTCCCGAGTACGTTTTAAGGGATATTCGGATTTGTGCCCAGTGACTGTCATAATATGCCTACTTGGAATTTGCGCAGCATCAAGAACATGTACAGTAGTGGCTCTGCATGAGTGATTGGTGTAAATGGTATTCAAACCAGCTTTTCTACTTATTTCTTTCATCATTGATCCAAGCTTATTATGACCGAGGGGTGAATTGTCGTAAAACACTCCATCCTTTTGAAAGATCCGGGCTTTTTGAAATAGTCGATCGCATTTTGAATTTAGTCTCTTTAGAAATTTGATGAAACTTCTTACTGGACATCTTCTGCTCCCTGAAATGGAAAAAAAATG